GTAAAAGAAACTTCTTCATCTTCCTCAATAAAATTTTTGTTTTTTGCTTTTTTCGAATTTTTGGGAAAAAGGATCGTTGGAAAGAGTTGCTTTTGACCATAATAATTATCTTTAGTTTTTCGAATAGTATTCATATTATATTTAACAAATATAGTATCAACAATATCTTCCTTACTAAAAAAATAAGTACGACTTCTTTTACTTTCATCTCTTAAAAGAACCAAAGCATTATTATTTTCAATATCTTTACATATGACTTTTATGATTCTATAATATTGATCCCAATAATTATAGAAACATATTCCAATTTTTATTCGTTCAAACTCCTTTCTCTTATGATCTTCTTCCATGGAAGCTCAGTTTGTTACAATAAATTTTTATTTTTATATTTATAATTCAAGATCAACCGTGTTTGATATACATATTACATTACTCTAACTAGATAAAAATTTCTATGGGTTCATTTGTTTTATCATCATAAATCATAAGACTAAGAAAAGTAGTATTGTTAAATACTATATCAACTTTTATGACTATATTTTTACATTTATTATCATAAAATATAGTTTCTTTGTATAAACTATAAAGGACTTTTACAGTATAATAATATTTATGATCTTCAATAGTAGAAAAATCATATTTAACATAATCTGTATCTATAATATCATTTATACGAGTAACTATTTTTTGTATATTTTTATTTTCATTAGATAGTATAACTCTAGCTTAATTCCTTTCAGGGTTAACTTCAAGAACCTTTACGATTCGATAATATGCATTTAGAATTCCTCTGAAATACATTCTAACTTTAACCCTATTGAATTCTTTTTGTATATTGGTTTCCATTTTTTTAACAAAGTATGTTGGCAAGATCAAATGAACCAATGTTCCATACTTATAATATTTTAAACATATCCAACATGAAACTTCTGAGAATACAATCTATGCTGATCACAGAATATTCCATTATCTAGTCACTAGCGTCAAAATAGTCATTATAAATAATAAACTTTTCAATACTGAAAAGAGAAAAAAAAAGTAACGAATATTTAACATGGAAAGCAATTTTACATACGAAACTTTAAACGATCAATGGCACAAATTTGCTGAAAGAAATAAACATATCGCAGAGAAACATCTAGGGGTTGTTAACAATGATAGTAAAATTAACAAGACAATATCCTTTACACTAGAAAAATACGATCAAGCTAAACTATTATATGACAAGTTTTTTACTCATAAATTAAATGAAAATCATCTATTAGCAAATGAATTCATAAAAAGATCACATAATATGTTTATTGAAATAGATGACTATTTTGTAATTGCCAATTCTTATAAAAACGGTGCTATTGGATTTGAGGAAAATCATGATGCTGCGGATATATTTTTCAAATTAGCCGAATTCTTCAATATCCCTAGTGACAATACAAAAGAAATATTCAATGATATCAATACATTTGTTATTGTAGATATTGATAGCAACCTTAATAAGAAAAATGAGACGAAAATCAATTCATGAGAACTTTGTTCCTTGGATAGTATCTTTGAGAAAAATAATATCGTATTTAAGAAATACATTTATTCGTTTTACTAACAATGGATTGTATTACTAAAATCATATTCAGATTTTACAATTGAATTTCTAGATTTTACTGACTATGATGATATACCATCAGATTATAGAAATTTACATAATAATTTTGCTGTTAATTTACTTAGTTATAAGTTAAAAAAATATAATGAAATAGCATTAACAATTTTTAGAAACGATAAAAATTGTAACTGGATAGGACAATATTATCATAATAGATTCAATATGGTAGAACCCAATAATATGTTAGCAAGAATATTCTATAAAATATCTACTTACCATTAAGGAGATTCTGATGGTATATTCAGATATGCTTGTCTTTTAATTGATCAGTTACCAAATAATAATGCAAATGGAAATGAACATATTTTGAAAAAGATTTTAACAGTTCTCAGACAATCTTCCTCCAAGGGAAATTCAAATGCTGCCTATATATTAGATTGTAAATATTTATATGGAGAACTTGATAGTATTAGAAATCATAACTTAGCGTATAAATATTTATCTTATGCATCAGATAAAAGTAATACTAATACAAAGGCAAAAATAATTGAAATACAATTACCAAATAAAATGGAAAAGAATACTGATAATTCAAACGGATTTCTTAAACCACCTGAAATTAGTTTAAAAGACTGTTATATGAGAAACAATGATGTTATGTTAAGAGAAGTAGAACTTTCTCAAGATGAAAGTGAATATATATATATTTTTAATTAATTGATTAGTTTAATAATATTTTATTTAATAAATATATATTTATTTAAATGATTACAAATTTAACAATTGTTTAAATATATCAACTCTCTCCGTCGATCACTCTGACCAAATTTGGAGCAAAAAGAAAAACAAAGAAAACACAAGAATTTCACTAAGAACTAGCTTTTT